AAAAATGTGTGAGATTGGTCTTTTTTTTGGCAGTCACCTTGCCAGCTACCAAAGTAGGACCATCACGTATCCATCAATCGTCCATACATCCGTTCCTTGTCCCACGTATCTGTCTATCCTGTACTTACGAAGATGTTTGCGACCTTATCTTACATCACTCAAATCATCCGATAATGATAATATACTTGCCGAATTCTGCATCCTCTCCATTACAGGTGAGTGCCTAACCATTTTCTAATTTCCTTTAATACGCACACACGAAATCACAAATCTGGTCATGGTCTGCATCGATCTGCCCAGCCCAATACCGTTTTATTGAAGCAGAGGAGATTTTGTGCTACCGCCCTTGAGGCCAGCTTAGAAATCTCTGAAGTCCCTCTCACTCTGAAGTCCCTATTGCATACACGTCATCTAATGCCCATTCTTCCAATTCATGCAACCCGTTCAACTGTTTAAACCCAAGTTGGCAAGGGTGTATTAAATCAGACATTATAGAGAATAACTAGTTCTAATTGTATGGGGAGCAATGACTGCTATTGCTACGAATAAAGGTGATTTTAAACGCTCTATGTGCGAGGAAAGTGGGCACTGAGTCTACAAGGCATTGAGAGTTGAACGTTTTCGAAGCCATGGAAGGAAAAAGGGAGATAGTTGCTTAAAATGCTGTCATTATCTCTCTCTGTGCCTGCCTTGAGAAACGTAATTGACTAAGTTATTTTAATTCACTGTTTACTGACTGTGGATCATCGATGCAACTTGTGTTTTGTAGTCTGGTCCATATTGGTGGCAGTTTCTGCCAAACCACTCTAACCAACGAATTCAATGAAGGGTGTTCAACTTTCTTCCCACAACGTAATGGTCTACGTGTTGTGCTAATCCTATCAGCTTAAAGACTACGGATAAAGTTTTTCTCATAACTTTGCAATTCTTTTCCCGATTTTTCGCATTTCCAGCCTTTTCGTTTTAATGAACATGCGGGGAGGGAATTAGCATTGTCCAAATTCATTGTCTCAGATGTCGCCAACCCCACTAGAATCGCAGCCAAATTATGGCTGTAAAAGCCAGAGCGCCAGCATTGCCAAAAGAAGCATAAGTATGAGCTCGGTGCAGCGCATTCACTAACTTATCAGATATGCGTTTCATTCAGCCATTTGTTTGTTCAACCCTATTTTCCATTACCGAATTTTTTAATAAACTACCTCTTTATTGATCGCAGTCCTCTTAACTTGCCGTCTACAGCTTGGACACACATTGGAAGCGGTAATGATGAGAATGAGAGCTGGTCTGTGGGCCGGATTGGCAGCACTGCAACATCACTGTTGCCAGTTGATGTGGTGTGTAAGCAAACTCATCACGTGGTGTTACCTCTGCCCTAGCCAAATGCAGTCGCATCCTCTAAATATTCGGTTATTCTTCGTGTCATAACAATTCGCTCTATTTGTGGTGGCTGCTAAATAGCAGACGTTCCAATTAGTTGTCACATTCCTCCATTCCTTTCATGTGTTAAATTAGTTCCACCTTCCTTCTTTCTCTTCTCCATAAAATGAATATCAACTTGAGCAAACAGAAGGACGACTGCTGCTTTGACGCAGCACGATTTGCTGCCACGCCATCAGGCAATCGGGCTCCAACGGCCGTGACTATACAGGCATACGAGTTAATACCGAGTCTTGATATCGTCAGGTTATTTGGATGGTTCCCAGAGTTGATGGGCCTAGGCGAATGGCGCGTTGTACGAATTGGTTTTCTCCCAGGTTTGTTATATTTGCATCCCCATGGAAACAGAATTCTGTGCAGACAGGGTGCTAGTTGTATAAACCAGATGTTCAGTAAGGATGAGACCAAGGAATGGGAAAGGAAGAAAAAGCCAAATATTCTGAGGCATTTTTGTCAGAGGAGGCACTGTTCACTCAGTGTGAGTATGCATGTATAAGCATCAAGTGCACCCCCATTTCTATCACTTCATTTTCATTTGTCTCGCTCTTCTCCCTCCTTCTTCGTCCTTCCTTCTTGCTTTTGCCCATTCTGCCTATTATCCTCTTCCTGTATGGTGCAGCTGGCGCACCAGAAGCATGTGTGCAATCAGAACTAAGGGCAGGGATGCAAGGGAGAGGGTGATATAAAAGCAGAAACAGAGGCAGAGTGAGAAGCAGAAGAGAGAAATGGGGAACTAGGAGTTGTGCATTGTCGTCGTTTGGCGAGTTTTCCATCATTTGTCGCTTACAGTGCTTAACAGGGAAGCCGTGTACCTTGTGAAGTAAGGGGCACAGTGGATTGTATGTTTTACTGATGTGTCCTTTACCCAAGCATTGTGGAATGAGAGGGAAGGGTTAGGAGAGAGTTGAGTGAGGAACGATGATTGGTAGTGAAACATTCATTGCAATGCTCCAAGTATATGAACACGTGCAATGCAGATGTTGAGGTAATATTCACCTATGGACGTTTATGGGCAGATATGCAGGTGGTTGGTAGGTGTAATGGGAGACATACAGGTGCGCAGCTGAGAGGAAAGTACAAGGAGAAATGGATAGCATTAGAGTGCAAGGGGAAGAGAGAAAGAGATTAAGGGAAGGAGAAGATGGCACTCGTTTATCGATAGGTTAGTAGGGAGGTAGGAAGTTGCGTGATTATTGGCGTAGTTGTAAGGAGAGGGGCTGAGAAGAGGAAGGAGCAGAAGTGGCAGAGAGGAGGAAAAAGAGGATAAAAGGGGAGAGAAAAATGGAACTGCGGGAAGAACAATGGAGGAGCAATGTTGGTTGGGGTAGTCATTAGTTGAATTTGTAAAAAAGGATTAAAGGAAAGAAGGAAATATGAAAAGAAATAAGGGATGAGTAAGATAGAGGGACAATTGAAGAGATTGTTATTGTATCCTTGGATGATTTGAGTGGAGAAATGATGTACGGACTAGTCAACGGACGGGCGAACGAGTAGACGAGGAGAGGTGCAACAGAGGCGAAACGAGTTGCACTGAACCGCATTCAGTAGATTTCCTGATGACAATTTGATGGGCTAATTTGTGGATGAGTAAGAAGACTTCCTCAATCCAATTGATTTTCCACCTTATCCGACCAAACTATCTATGCTTTGATATAACTACTCCTCACCTCTCACATCACACATCCTACCCCCTACCCTCAGCAGATGTGGAGATGTGGTTGATATGAACACAAAACCCACAATATATATTTCAAGACCTCAGCATCTATCTTAAATCGTTTGCATTTAAGATACACCTCGATGGAACAACAAGGACCTACTACACTTGGACCAATTGGAAGCTATCTTCCGCTCTTTAACTCCACCTCATGCTCTACTTTCGATCCTGCACAGGCAGAAAAGCAATTACAGATAGTGTCCATCAACACAACGTGGGTTTTTCCATGAATGAATACTTTTGTATTTCCTCACTGCCTTGTCACTTCAGCCTTGCAACAGTAGGTTTTGGTCGCGTAGGCGAGAAGGACGAAATATAGTGATTTTTTACAACTGCTAAAGCAGAGGACAGAATACCCGTTGAGACGAAAGCCAACCGACTAATTTTGCTGTTGCCTAAATCAGGTGGAAATGCATTGTGATGTACGAGCCGGCGCATCAGTGGAAATTTGTTCATTGTGGCACACTGCATAAAAGTGTGCAAACGAGTGAGTGGAGAATTGGCTGATCTCTCGGTAAATTGAGGTAGTGCGGGGATGTGTTGTGATGTAATGTGAAGCAAGGCAAAATGGGCCGTTGTACGCGGCACCTGTACATTGATGTAAATACAACTGCAAAGAGGAGGGTGAAGTTGCACTGAAGACTACTGCAATGCCATTTACACCGCCGTGTGTATGCAGCTGCTGCGTCTTGACGATCACGTAGTAGTTATTTTCTTTCCTGCTGCTATCAACCCACCTGTGTCTCACCAGTTAGGTACCCTTCACCGCATCCTCATACCACAGCCAATCACTCCAGTCTCCCTTATTCAATTTTGTTGACGCATTTCTTTTCTCCCCAATGCGCTCATTTGGCGGTTTTCTTCTCTACTTTACTCATTTTCTCTCTTACCTCCTATTCTCTCTTTCTATCTACTTAGCATCCTTCCACACAGCCTATATCCTTCTCTAAGCCTAGCGTCTGCTCTCCTTCAATCCATTCCTTTCGGCAAATATGTTTCTCCTGCTCATTCAACCTCAATGCCTCCGCATGGAATATGTCTGCTGGCATGATTGTAGGTGCATTTTCACCTTTGCTTTAATTTCCTTTTTCGAAACCTCCCACCAGCAACATCATCGAGCAATGCGGATAAAATTTATAGGAACATAAGATAATCTGCCAACAATAATTTGAAGCCGTAATAATTTCTAGGAAATGTAACACCCTGCAGACAGACATTTTGTATGAATGGCCATGAGCAACTACATAACATATGAAATTGAGCTGATGCAAATTACAGAAACAATTACAAATAGTTTCTATAGCCCGTTTGAGATCATGATCGCAAATCGACTGGCAATGTCATCTGGTGAATACTGTGGCGGAAGGTAGTTGACGTAATGTGATTGTTGCTCGTTTGCATGTTGGAAATGACGCAAGTTTCACGCGTGCTTGAGGAGAATTAGCAGAACAATGCATCGATGAATTCGTATTCTGCGAGGACACAGGTGCCTTTGTTTGGGGAGGGAATCCAACCCAACTATCCAACAAGGCGTGTTCTATTGGGGCCCACTGCCAGCAAGAATACCTGAATAGCCACCTGTATAGAGACTTAATTATCTGTTGATTTGACATAAAAGTCCTGCGTCACAGTTAATGTCTTTTTCTTAAACGCCCAGTATGTTTTCACTAAAAAGATTGTTGGCAGTAGGAACCAACGAGGTAATCGGAGTCCTTGTGGATCAGAATTATTGGAAAAATGCACATATTGTGGATTACATATAACCATCTGACCACTATGATCAAGTGCATTGCTGTATATCGAGACCGTTCTTCCTAAAATTGTGAGAATTGGAAGGCACCCACCCTCACCCGATCACCGAAGTTAAGCGACGTCGGACCGAATTAGTACTTGCATGGGTGACCAGCTGGGAATCCTCAGTGTTGCTGGCCTCCTTTGTACTCCTCTCCTCCTCCACACGGCCATACTTCACGTCATCACATTTTACTGCACTCACACTACTCCTCTCCAATCCACTCCACTACACTGCACTTGCATCCAGTACAATCCCATTCACCCTGTATACAGCACCGAATCAATTGCTATCAACTTAATGCCATGATGCCCTATGCCATATGGCAGTTGCATATGCAGTTGGAGACGCATGTGTATGTGTGTGGAAGAGCAGGAGGAGAATGAGGAGGTGGAAGTGCAGGCGGAGGCGTCAGAGGAATAGGAGGAGGTGGTAGTGCAGAGATGTGAGTGATGCGGCGAGTGAGTGGGCGGATGCACGAATGGAGGAAGGAGTGGGTGGAGGATAGGAGGAAGGGTGAAATGGGAAAATGGGCGAAAGGGTAAAAGAGTAAACCAAGTGATAGAGAAAGTGAGGGCTGTTGGCGTGGTGTCAGGTGGGCTGAAGGGAGAATGAAGGCAAAAAGGTCGGCGAAATTTTAGAGCTGATCATTTGATGAATGCTTTGGAGACGTTACTGGCTCCAGTCAATCAAATCAGTACCGTAGTTCCGATAATTTCTTATCGACACGATTCTTGATTTGGAGGTGATAAACCAAAGGTGGACACACTTGCTCAGCTGTAGCTGCCTTTCAATTAGTTTAAATTAAACATTGGATGGGTTAGTTCCTAGTGATTATTTGTAAATTGTGATCAGTCACTTAAATTCATGCAACTGATTTTAAATGACCCGATATTCAGTGGTTCCACCTCACTCATAGCTCATCGGGCACATCCAACTTATGTGCACCTAAGTAACAATCTTTCTACATCATCATGTGAGACGGTTCTTGTTAGCTATCAATTTCGCCGAATGAGAGAAGCTAAAGCCTGCGCAATGCAATGGGACAACAATTATAATGCTTCTTCTTCAACCACCACGCCCATGAGGTCACCCACATTCCAAATGATTTAGTATGATTAAGTTCTAGATCAAGATACACAAGAAAGCGAGCACACAGTGTCTTCGGAAGGCCACTTCCATCGTTTTACATTTAGGTAAGAATGGGAATTAGTCTTCCACATTGTTTCGGTTTAACAAGTAATGAGCGGACTTAAGAAGATAGATTAACAAAGCCTGTTTGGAAGTAAGTCACGTATCCTAATGGAAAAACGAACAGTATATTCCTTTGGTCACCTTGTTATTTTCCTCTTGTTTGAAGTACCAATTCAGAAAATGCATTAATCAGGCGATAAGGGAACAGGGAAAACGTCACAAAGCGCTTACCATCAGCAATATCTCCTCCATCAACCGACCCCTTGTTTGACAGACGCAAAAAACAAACGGTAAGATTGTCTTGTGAGATGTATGGAACATTACCCGACACTACTCGCAATGCATACTTAAAGCTCAAATCCTGCCACTGTGATTGCAATAACAGCCTCCCCTTTCAACGTGGAATGCGCGAAGCCCAACGAATACATGGTTGCATGACAGCATTTGCCTACCCTGAGTAAAGTGATCGTAAATTACCAGTAAACTCTTGTCAGAGCGCGACTCCTTGCACTGTTTACGTGCTCCACTCCATGAAACTAATTTCTTTGTTCCACCGTGAATTAAAGAATCACACAAGAGCTTAATCATCCCAGACTAGTTTCTTTTCTAATACGCCAACAATTTTCGACCAATTCTTCATCAACTCAACTGACACTGCTCAAAAGGTAGCAAGTAAGGGAAATCATCCTCATGTCAGGGAAATCCTAAATCTACACTGTCTTGCCTGTGGCCAACAATTTGGTGCAACCAGTTATCACACATCAGTGAAGTGCACGGAGAGTGTATTTGTAGTATCGGGCTAGGATGACTGGAACACAATGTATGCTTCGCTGTGGCGGGGCGTTACTTTAATTGCCTGATTTTTGCATGGTGCACAAATGTTTCTATTTGTTTATAAGACAAGTTTCCTGGCAAGTACTAATGATCATAATGGCACGAGTAGAGCTTGTGCTAAACGAAAAAGTGTACTTCCCTACTTTGAGCATTGCCCGGAGTTGACTCATATTAGAATTTAAGGATTCACGAAGATACAGGGGTTAATCGAGGCTCACTCTCTTCAGTGCACGAATAAAACTACCACTTTTGCGCCTCGAGCAAGTGACCAGAGAACATGAGGTCACGTGGCTAGAGTGTTGATGAAGGAACCCATCGCCCCCTTTAATTACTCTTTCTCCATTTTTAATAAATCGAGTAGAACTGAGTTAAGTGCCTCATTAGAACACAAAGTCTTATCTTAATTTTCAACGATGATATTTTCCACGCTTTCTTTTCTACCTGCAAAGTAAAGTTTTGCACTGCTCATCATCATCGCCCACATATGTATGACCCACATTCTCTCCGTCTATGCCACTTGCCTCAAAAGCAAAACAGAGATGACTGGGTGTATCGAAGTTCTTCCTATTGCAGTTACTTTAAATGCAAGGACAGCATTTTATTGAATTCAGACGACTAATGTGAGCTGTATCCGCGCTATAGGAACCTTCATAAAATTCTTGACTCACAGACTAAAAAACGCATTCGCGATTGAGGAGATTTGAGGAGTTAGCAAGTATTCTATGTGTTAAATGGCTGAAGAATTTCGGTCGTAGCGCCTATGACCTCTATCGGCAGTCGATTTCCGATGTTGCGACCTAAATTTTCAACCACTGGGCATCTGAGATGCCTGCTAACTCCTCGAACCTCAAGCGTCTACTGCTTTAATTCATTCGGATTTCCGGAATCTGATGTATTCTACTAAGATTGTTTCGTCGTCCTTTACTGTAATGCATATCTCCTTTTCATGCCCATGGATGCAATTTTGTAGTTTGTTGTGTCTATCCTTTTCTAAACATAATTTTCCGCACTGCAAATAAATGCCCATTCGTCTTATAACCCAAGTAGTTGGAAGGATACTTCCACTAAGGAAGACAGATTGTGATTTGCTCTTGTTTTTCATCCCTTTATATCCTCAACTCACATTTTGGCATGCACCCCTTATGAATAGGTGCATACCTACAGAATGTTACCGTAGTTGTGCATGCATTCCTTAATGCATACTTTTGTATCAATTAATCAGCATGCCACACTCAACTAATGTCAAGGAATTTAATTGGGAAAGTCTTTGGATTTGTGTCTTAGTTTGCAGTCATTTACCGATTTAGCATCTACAGCCACCTGCGTGACATTCACAAGGATATGTTTCCTTTAATTTATTCAGTATGGGTTCAGTATATTCGATTAGCACAAACAGCATTAAGAAAATATAGGAAATATTTGAGCAAAATGTGCATTTGAAGATGTTTGAGTGAATGGAGTTATTACAAAAATCTGAGCAGAACACATCACAAGTGAATCAAATGAAATCGTGTGCAATCTGATATGCAATTTTGTATATCTTACTAGTCCATATTCTTTATCATTAACAGGAATTTATTAGCACTTTATGCTGCTTTCACCTCGTTGCAAAAGTAACTTAAAAAGGGTCAAACTGTGGTCAAGTAAATAATTCTTAAAATTTTATCCGAACCGTCTTGAATTACAGAGGTGCGGTGCATAACCCATTTGTACAACAGATGAGCTTTAAAGTGGATTTTAATCCCAAAATGTCTTATTAGACAGCAGCGTGATTGCATTTGTGTTATTACAAAGATAATGATGAGCTTTTCTTGTTTACTTAAACATTTGTTTCGACGATAAATGCAAGCAATGCCAGTAATACAACACGATGTCATCTTCAAATTGTGTAGGTGTCGTAAAACCTATGCATTAAATTCAGCCTTAAGCAAGAGTTCAATTTAGCGGAAAATTACCTCATGTCTCATATACATCCTGAAATAAAGTCAATCGAGAAAGTAGCTAAGTAGTGACAATTCGTGTAAAAGAATACCCCTCAAGGACAGGATGATCTCGACTGGTTTCGTTTGTTTTTATGAGGTCTTGTAAAAACCAACTACCAGGTTATAATTTGCATTTAACAGTCTGCTCAAAACCTGTACCCGAATAGAGCGTAGTTTTGTTGCTCTTCATGCACATGCTCTTTGTGGAGTAGCAAATAATTGCGGTGATTGAAAGTGCCCACTTGAGCTGCCTAACGTAGCTGGCATCCATAAGGTGAAAGGCACCGACATAATATTGGCATTCACAGTTTCGCTCCATATGTACTTAAATTTTTACTCAAGTATCATCTTAAAAATTTTTTTGCATTACTTAAGAGTGTGGCAAATAAAGCCCAATCATTGTACCCCTACGTATTGAGTGTGTTTTGATGCATAGTAGTTGGAGACACTCGGGTGCCGTTAAGATCCAATTTAGCGAGTTATAATAAAAAAATTCATCCTAATCAAAAGTATGAATATTTGTGATAGGATTAGCTTGTTAGGCTGGCTCGCATTTTTACATTTTTTCGGTAATGCAAGTTTTACTGCAAATCCGCAATTAAGGTGGACTCCTTAGATTTCACTTGTATTTCACTGTCATGTTTTACGGTAATATTTAATGGCAGTGTTAATCTATGTAGCATATACAAGAGAGAATTTCCCATACCTGTTTGCCATTAGTGACCATTGAAACAAACCCTCAGGCACCATTTAGATTTGACTAAGCCCTCGCATGATTTACGGAATCAGATTTGTTTGTTTTGGTTCTGCAATGAACTACGGTTAATGCTAGCGTTAGTGAAAACTACAATTCTCTCTGGTGGGCATGATTTTTTGTTATGTAAATGTTCTGTAAATGTGTACGCGGTCCTTGCTTCCACAAAACACGAATAGTATTTTGTAAAGAACAACACAATAACACCTGCGTTGCAGTACAACTAGTGATTACGAGACGTCGTAAAACATTTAAAGTAAATTTACATTTTAGTTACATTTTTACAGAATGAAGCGTAGACGTAGCTATATTTGTTGGAGTCAAAAATGATCTAGCCTCTTGATGGCTTTGAGAAGCATTGATACGCAGTGGCAGAATGTCTAATTGGTATGCCACCAGGCTGTTTGACAGTTAATATGTTCACGCCTAAACATAAAAATTAAATTTAAAATGCTAGGTCTGTGCATTTTACTAAATGGCTCTGGGTGCAAATATTTTTCGAATGCTAACATAAGAAGTAAAAAGAGCCACTTATCCACAGGAAACAAGCCCTATTAAGGGAAATAGGGTGACGTCCATGCTTTCTCTCGATTATTTTAAATTCCTTCTTTGAGTACGTTGTGCATCATTTTAAATTTATGGTGAACATTTCTCTGTTTTTAGTGGGCACTGGTTTCCTACTTTACTTCTCCTAGTATTCAGCACGAGGTAATACCATTCTCGTATTTTACTTATCGGCACCATAATGGCATGATATTATATTATATCATGCATAATGAATGGAGCGTATACCATGTCTTACGCAGGAAGTTGGTTGACATGACTTCCAGGCAACTATCACATTCTAATTACATCAAATTGCTTAGTCTCTAATGACTCAAGATAGTAAATTGGAGTACAAGGTTGACTAATTCAATGTCAAGTTTTGAGGTATGCTGGAGATCAATAAACATATTTTTTTATTCACAGGCTGCTTATTATCAGCGACTACTCAAGCCGCTCATTATTCTGCTCCTAACGATTTTGACCTTAACATAGAATCACTGCTTTCCTAAATTTGCCATCAAATTGTAAGCATCTGTGTCGGAATGCTCACGACTCCAAGACAATCAACCTCATTTGTTCGAATCAATTTATGCGAGATAGTTACCACATATTTTAATTTAAGTTGTCCTTAAATAACTAAATATTGAAATGTTATGCTGTTAGGAGAATCATTAACCCAATAACCTGCACTTTATTTGTTATTATATGACACGGGAACCATTTATTGGCTAAATTCACAAGCTTTCCACTGCCTTCATCAAGTTGTGCCTATGTCCGTTATCAAGCCACAAGTAATGCAAGATTCAAAATAACTACATACCAAGATATGCAAATCTTTGCTTACTGGTAAATAGTAAATTGTGTAACACTTGATTTTATGCAAAGTCAAGAATAAGCCCATTGAAGTCTGCGATTGCCTTGGAGAAAATTTCATGAATGCGGTGGTAGACTCAAAGCTACCCATAACAGCGTGATTTATCTGGACATATCATATTTAAAACAGGTGATTTAAAGTCAATGTAAATGACGTAAATCATTTAGTTGTGATTACTGGTGTCCTGCACATTGTCTCCAGCGGAGTGAAGTTAGTTGCTACAATGCCATCAAGTCTCATGGGGAAGGAATTCACTGAGGTTTCATGAATTCTTTGCATTACAAAATGGCTTCTAAAAGCGGTTATAAAAAGGATTCTAATTGTTATCCTAACAGATGTCTATAGCCGCCTCCTGCTTCCGTTTGGATCAGAATATCACCACCTTTTGGATGCGTTAGCAGTGCATCTTGTTATGAACATTGCCCTTCAAGACAGTTCTTAATGAGATCACTGCCTGCACTCGTACTACCTCAGTCCCATTACACGTCAGAATAACCGTCTACGAATTCCATATTTTTGTGTTCAGACCGAAAATGAGGCATCGAGAGCCTCATTGTAAAAGGAGCAAGTCAGGCACGCGTAATTGCATTGACGCGAGAACGCCCTCCCTGCAAAACATCTTCTGGGTCTATAATCGCATCGATGTTGCATTGAGTACCATAACCAGTGTAAATGCTTCAAGTTGTCCTGATTCCCTTGAAGTTCTAGTACTGACTTCGTGAAGCTTCTAGTTGAGCATTCGAGTGACAATTGCGATGAAGAATGGTGTGCTATGAGTATATTTCTGTCATGCAGCGTGTTGGTGCTTATGTAGTCCCGTAGTAAATGTAGTGCGGTAGGGTGATGGGATGTAAGTGATGCGCCTGCTTTTAGTACCGTGCATTCTTATCACAATAGATGTTTGTGATTTACGTCAGCACACCGGGCTATGACTTACCACAGAAAAGCGTTCGAATCGATTAATGGAATTGACGGTGAGACAGTCGCTTAGGTACAGTTTGTAGTGATGAATGCGTTTCGAAAGACGGGTGTGATCTCACCAGTATTCCTGTGGCAATCGCGTTATTTGGCACGCTGTCACGGCTGTACTTAATATCGTGGTGTTTAGCTCTTCAACACGGGGCCGCACAAAATAAACGAACTTGCCCAAATAATGTGCAGACTGTGACTGCTTTATGGAAAAATATTTGCGCTTTACCTCGACCTTGGTCAGAAAATAACGAAAGTAACATAAGTGATATTTTGCACAATTATTTGTGAATGGGTAGGAGGAGTGAGGGATAGTGTATGCCGGAGACAATAGCAAAGTGTGAATTGATTTAAAAGAGTTACTTATGATGAGCTTGAAATTCTCTTAAGAGTAAAGAGATCAGCGGTGTCTTACACACGACAATTCTAGAAAAGGCTGTTGCTGTACTCGTCGACACCATTCCGCACTAAAGATACACTGCTGGAACTGTGTTTTTGCCAGGTGTGGCGTCGTCAAAGAGGTTATGATTAATCCCTCACTACAGGGTCATTCATCTCAAACTTGAGCTGGGCATCAACCATCCCTAACGCATGACTTAGGAAGAAGTCGGATGTCAAAAGTACAACCGCCTGCAACGCCTACAACAAAACTATCTTGATGTTTGCATTTGCTTACTATCCGTTCTAAAGCACAGAGTAGAATTGATGCGGAAAGGAAAGTTATTTGTCAAGAGATACAGTAAACTACCAAATATGATCGCTTAAACTTCAAAGATGGGCAGCGCTGGAGATGAGAGAATTGAATTCATGTAAAAAGACAGACAAGGAGCGTAGTTATCAATTAGGAATTATAAATGAACGAGGGTGGGAGAAAGGTCGACTGCAGGTGACGTCATTCGAGAGGTGCAAGGGGTCTGTCGAAGCACAGGCTTTTGGAATCTAAGAACTCCCTGCCATTCTGCTTTGGTAGGCTCACAGTTCCTGTGTTCAGTCTGTGCATGAAACCGCACAATTGACAGTCCAATCTGATTGGTCTCTAAGATGCAGAGGTTAGAAACTCTGTTAAGACTCCGTTTGTTCTTCCAATACTTTGTTTATTCCCATCTCAGTCATTCATCCAATCCTTACGGACTCATTCACTCAGGTGCTCGTCTATTTGCCAACTCCTTCATTACATTGGCTGCTTCGAGGAGTAATCTTCGCACTTTGTTAGGCGCAACAACTTCAAGTTCAAAATGTCGTATTTGCAACCTGATTAAGGTCGATGGATTGCTTACATAAGCATAGCTGCAAACTCCGTAAAGCTGCAAATCATGCAACACTGCTAATAGAGCAAGGCTTTGTTCGAGTGGCGAAGACTGCACACATGAGTGGCTGGTGGGGAAAGCACTTGTCGGGCTGTCCGAATACGTACATGCACCGGCAACTTATTGGATTGGAATGATTGACATGGTCATTTGCCGACACAGCCGCAATCTATCAGTCAGCAAAACCTCAGTGCACCTCCGCCGTGTTTTGAAATTAAACATCTTTATCTAATCTCTACAACGTCGCATTTGGAATCCCTCAATGCAAATAACTCATTTGAACACACGAACGTATGACTAATGGTAACTGTGAGGTACTAACACCTACTCAACACGTTTACATTCATTATCGGTTCACTCTACCTTACACTTACCAGGAGTGTGTAATTTACTTCACATATGGTAGAATAATTTGTCGTCCTCATACCCAAGGAAAGGCATGACTAACAGCTGGTAGGCACTGCGTATGTGGCATTGGCGCAACTGTGGTATTGACGCCCACAACAGGGTATAACTTAAGGCCACAAATATTTATGTAGGCACCACACCTACGACATTCAACAATTCAGTGTTCAGTTGTGAAGATCTACCTATGAAAATGCTTGGAAAATGATGTTTACCAATTTTAAAATTAATCATCGAAAAAGCACACCACTATTTCAATCTCAGGAATGGTGTCGATCACTGACGCACACACACAGTGTTGATGTAGACAAAGACCAAAGACTTACGCAAAATCTCCCATGCTCCTTCCAGGCGAAGTAGGCCGCATAGGCAGTGTCGTTTTTGTCCAAGTAGAGCAAGTAGTTGGCCAAATCATGAATCGACTTGTAGTCATCCACATTGATGTACGAGTGCGGAGGCAACGAGCTTTCGTAGTCGTCCTTAAAGGCGCCCAATACAATGGGAATCATATCGTGTCTGCACACAAAAACGAGTGAAGAAAGAACGCGTGATCCATGGGCGGAGGAACCTACTGACATAGGTGGTCAAGTAAAATTCAAAAAGAAGACGTGAGCCACCTTATTCTCGCATCACGCATGAGTGGCATTAAAGACTTCAGAAACTCAACATTGTTGAGGTGGAGTGGTCACAACTTATGTGGGAAATGCAGAATTCACTAAAACTAAGAGAGGCTATGGCCGACCCGTATAACAACGCGAATGGAATCAGAAATTAGAATAATCTATTTTCTCTAGCGTAGGTCGACGTGCCATAATGAGAATGGAACGACTTGATGGTGCACCAGAGAGCATGCATGACCGCGAACAATCTATGTTGAATGTCTCATTTTAATCCAAGTATTTTCGGATCTACGGTTAACGAAGTCTCTTTTTTCCACCTCGCATTTTCAGATGATCACACCACATTTTTGTGCTGGTCATTTCATATTACCCAACTTTAAGACAGCGAAATATAGAAGATTTTAATTGAGTGCAAAATTCGACTATGGTCATCCTATCACCTAAAAACGTGATCAAAATTACTTTGCATTTGTGCCTTGTGAAGTGGATTATGTGTCTATGGAATTGCATATCGTAAAGCATTCACTATGAGTCCAACCAATCAAATGTCATATTTCATCTGCTCACACTCTGATAAGTAGTTTTACTAGCGCCTTAAATTTGCCACATTAGAAGGACCGCGATGATGCATAGAAGAAAGATGTCAGCAGTGCTTTTAGCTTCGGCTGCTGTAGCACTAACACTACTAATACTCTTTTGGAATGTCACTCTGAATGAGAAATCTTTCAAATTATTTAAACTTTTGCCCTTTAGCGCGTCTTCCATACCTTCCATTTTAATCCCCTATCACCATGTAATCGACCAGTTGGAGTGGATAACTGATTTCGCCACGGACAAAGTATGTTTCATTGCGCTCTTTTGCTTTCCTTTCTTTAATAAGTGCACAAGAAATAAGGACGTCCGATGGCCTTGAAAAAAAACGCGATAAACTTGTTTATCAACTAATTTATACTTTTCATCAAGAGACTTACATATAATAGGACCTTAATGGTGCGAATGCGCGCTCATATTTAAACAAGGTTTCGCGAACATTCCAACAAAAATTCACAAAATTATTTTAAAGTATGTGTTTGCCAAGCGAAACGATGGGTGAAACCATTGTTTAATTATAGGAGCATTACTTGTCACTCATTCAAATAATGTCACTAAATCACCCTGAATAAGTAATGCACATGTTAAGGCTGTTTCTGGGACTAGGATGATTTTCGTACCCTTTCATATGCGCCTAAACTGTGTAAATGTCACGCTGGAGGATAAGTGCGATATTCTAGACTGCATTTCTGATTCTTCTGCATGCCCAAGTGACTACGACTAATACATAATTAATAATTTGGGAATAATTCTAGTGCACACGTATTCACATCTATATTTTACGGCTATTTATTTTTTCTGCGGTTACGCTGATGTGGCAAATACATGCCTTAATTTGAAAGTAAATTTTCCAACCTTAGACTGATTTTCCATCTGCAAACCCACCAGTGATTTACTACGATCGACAAATTATCTATCACCCAACCACTTCCGATGGGTGTCGCTACAAATGCATCTTTGCAGCTACCACCCAAGATCTCAGCCAAGGCGATGTGGCCGTCTTCTCCAACCACTTTTCTGTAGAAACAAGTATCAGCCTCAAGAAACGTGGTGTTCTTATCGCCTTTGAGACGGGTGAATGCCCCTTTCTTGCACCTTCTCTCCGTCCTGCACACTTGAACCAAGTGAGTGATGCATGAAGCATTAGCAATGCATCAGTTTCATGGTGAGTCCCCCGGTGCATGTGCAGCCACTCTGTCCATATGACTGCATCATGAATACCTTCACTATCAGATTGTGGAAGAAGTTGACTCACCATTGGCCGTGTAGTTGTTCTGGTATGACACTACAGCTGGAAAAGAAAATGTGTGCCTTTTCCAACTACAGATCAGTCTGCATCTAATTCCTTGCCTCAAACGCAACCCCTCGTTTTGTAGCATAGTTTGGTATTTGGGCAGGTACCCAGAACTGTCTTGCATGTGCACCGCTGACAACAGACTCACATGTTGGCAAGGAAGGGTCAATATAAAGTCTATGACGCAGCAGAAAGCAAAGCCCGAATATCAGTTGTAAGGGCTGATACAACAACTTTTATCGTGCCTTTCTGGTGGTAAGTTCTCAATGTAATTACCATTCACCAAAGTGCAGTGGATCTCACAGTTCCAATGAAATGTTTGCCTATAATTGAAAGCACTCGTTTTTAGCGGTGTAGCGAGGGAATTGTAGTGCATGTGTAAGGCGCTAGCAGGGCGTTTTAGCATGATTTAAAGGCGACGCAAGTTCTGTTAGATACGCACAGGAGGAAGCGCGAAGTGCTGCTTTCTCTGTTGGAGTGTTTCTTGATCGTCCACCCTTTGGTCATTTATGCGTTCACTTCTGTCTACAAATATTCCAGTCCCATATGTAAAAAAGCCCTTCCTCCTGGTATGTTGAAGACGATTTAGTAAGATGTATTGAAGCCTTCTGAGGCCGTGACTAATGTGGCTGCTGATAGCTGTCGAAACCGTTTGTTCACGGGGCCCTGTAGTGCTATCACATGATCAAGATGAAGTATGTTACATGAGTATCCGCTTATTTCATTTCTTATATTTGAATACTGCCTTCAGATTTATCATGCTTCTTTTGGTACAAATAATTAGTCTAATCAAGTAAGATGATGGATACCATGTAACACCTGCACCACTCCGTGCTAAAAAGGAGGAATTGCTTAAAAAGGAGAACTTGAAGGAGGATGAGAAGGAGAGGACGATTTGGAGGTAATGCAATTGCATGGAAAAGATAAGATACTCAGCTTACAACCTGTTTTGATATTTCTTGAATAGAGAGGATGTTTTGTACAGTTAGCTTAGGGGATATCAGAATGAGGCATAATTAGGAGAAAGTGGGAAAAAGCTTACTGAGGTAAGAATGGGGATGAATAAAAACCTTACTTCGTGCGCTGATTATATGCGCCATCTCTACGTGCACAAATGTCTTAGCCTTGTCTAAAAGGTGAATAATTTGCATGAACCAGGAAGTGGCATCGTTGTCAAAGCGGTTCATAATTTACTTTATTAATACAGATCGATCTCTTCATCACATACATGCCCAAATCTCCTGTGCCCTTTGTGTACTCCGTATTCGTGCGGAATAAGAATCCGAAGTATAGATTCACCACAGAAGAGGCTGCATTTATGCTGTCCAAGAATTATGTGCATTTGCTGCCCCCTCATCATCGGCAAAGGAGGAGGTTGATTGCCTGGGCCGTCTCCGACCACCAGCCCAATAATAACAGGGCTGAGTATGCAAGTGCAATCGCCAAATTTATTCCCGTAAGGTGTTTGTTTGGTCGTTAATTCCTTATTTAGCAAGGGCATGTGAATCAGATTATAATTTGGTGCTTTGCAAATTTGTATCTTCTTTCATATCATTGATCATCGAAGGAAGCAGCGATTTCAATTTGATTCAGCTTATCCCCTTCTGCATCTGTTTTGCGCAAAAGTATATGGACGAGAACACAGAATAAGCCGACGTCCTCTCATGCACATCGCAATGTAAGGCTTAGTCGAGTGCCGATATTCTCACGTCACATGACATCCACGGGTGTCACTTCTAGGCACCAACCAAACTGGCCTGCTGAAGCACTAATCTTATTTCGAATAGTTTATTTGACAGACCGACAAATGTTAGAGCAGTTTTCAAAGTTTTAATACGAACATGAACTCAGAGTGCGAGTTAGTGCATGCATTGTCTCCAACCTTATCCGTTATGAAGACAATCTATACCAAGCCAGTGCCATTTAGTAGCAAATATAGGATGTTCTTTTTCTAAATTAAACATTCTTGACTAGCATGTTGTTTTGCTTGAAATACTACTAAGTCATTGGACCATTTGGCACTCTACTTTATAGGTAGATATATACGGCAGTAAAGGAAGGCAACTACCACACAATGCCGAGGCATTTCATTTGCTCTCGCTGGACTACAAATTCTACCTCGCCTTTGAGAACGCCAACTGTCGCAATTACATAACAGAAAAGGTCTATTTCAACGCCATGCAGTGCGTGATGTTTGCTTCTTAACTCGTTTAAAGGCAATGCAAATCCTGCCATGAAGCGGTCCAATACCAACCTTAACGTGAAAGTTCTGCATAAAAGATTAAAATGGTCTTTTCATCATCCTATCATTTCAAGCTAAGCGGTAAAAACGTGTTCCACTTATCCAAAGCAGAGCATATCTGTACAAAGTAAAGCAAATCAATAAGGGTAGTTGGAAGATGGTGTCTGGAAGCGGGTATTTGGATTTGACCATCGGAGGAATGCGAAATGAGTAGGATGAAATACAACGTGAAAAAGCGCAATCCCATGCACCGAAGACTTGCAAACACTTCATCTAAAATGGGTTTACTCCTCTGCTCTGCCTACAGCAATCTGTGGATACACACGCTCAGAGTCGTGGGCGCACAACATGACGCATGAGTTTAATGCATGGATTGTGCT